GTATTTGTGGTGGAGTTCTGAACGACACCCACTTTCCGTGCAGTCGCTTTGTGAAATTGTTCTCCAGTTTCTTGGAACGCTACCCCCACCCCTTCGAGGAGGGCTAATTGCAGTACAAATTTAGCAACATTCTTATCCCCGTTGATTTAACAGAGTGGAATTATTATCGGTTTTCTTGTTACAACTAATAATCGGGTTTTTTTACTTCAATCGATCTGTCAAAATTTTCCCTCTTTGATTGCAGCCTCTGTGATACGGAATGATGGGGAGTTAAAAGCAAACAAATGACGCACTCCTTGAAATTCTGTCAGGGGTAATAAGTGAATCGAACCAAATTCACTCCTCAGCTGTCACCGCCTTCCTTCCCTCTTTTATCTCTTCAAGCCTTGACAGCAGCTTCTCTCCTTCACTGAGCACTTCTGGAGTACTGAGTCCCCTGTTAGAGGGGCTGAGGGGAGAGGCAGACAGTGAGAGGAAGGAATCAGTGCAAAAGGCTCCTCGCACAGTAGTGGGACGTTGTCCTAGAGCTTTGCTCTAGAATGATTAGATTTGGAGCTGGAGGCGGGAACAGTGCTTGTGTTCTTTCCTGTGGGGTTCTTTTTCTGGTCCATGGCGACTAGAAGTTCAAAGAACAAGGATCAGTGGGGTCCCGGGTAAAAGCATCAGCAAACCCCAGTCTCTAGAAGTGTGGGGACCATGAGGCTCTGGAGCAATTGTTTCTGGGACCCTAAAGCTTGGACAGGAAGCTCTGCATGCGTTAGCCCTTGCTTAGTATCTTTAAAACACACACTGTGGCCTTTTTGCGAGGTGCCAAATCTGATGGAGCCTTTGACTACAGATATTGTGAGTTGGTTTTCCAAGGGTGCCCCCTGAAAGAATGGCACTCACTGCCTGAGCTACTAAAAGAGCGAGTGAGAGCGATGGGCCTGACTTATGTCCAGGCTTAGCATGGCCCCTGAAAACGGATTCTTACAATCAATGTGTTTTCTTGTGACTTCTTTATAAAAAGTTGAGAGCTGGCAAGAGGGGAGGGGAGGGGACACTCCAGATAATTAATGATTCTTGTTGGGTGGGTCCTGATTAATGAGCTTGAGCCACGGAGTGATTTATTTTCTCTGTCTCTTCCTCTTTGAATCAATAAAGAGATTTGAGAGTCTGGTTTGAGGATCTGCTGAGAGCCTACGTTCTTATCTCAAATGTAATCAGTTTCCCAGAGATTTGCCCTCTTTCTCTCTGTTGAGCTCAACCTGGCAACCACGTATTTTCCGACTGCCCTGTGTCCCAACTTGGTAGGTGTTACTGAGCAGCAAAGATGGACGGGACACGGTCTCTGCCCACATCTGGCAGGAAGGGTGGGAAGGTAGTGCTAATGTCCATGTTACCTACAGTCTCTGTGTCATGTGCACCTCAGGATGCAGTTGGGAAATCCGGGGTGACTTCATGGAGGGACTGACCTAGGAATTGAGCCTTGCCAGGTGACCCCAGGTAGAGGTACTCAGTTAGACAGAGATGGGGAAATGTGAGGTTGAGTTTTCCCAAAGGTGATCATAATTATTACTACTGAGCATTTGGTATGGTAGGCCTCTTAGCTCCTTCAGTCCTTCTAATAGACTGGCCAATCTTTTCTGCAAAGAGCTAGATCATAAATACATGAACCTTTGTGGGCCCAGAGCTCTCTCTCACAGCCACTCAGCTGTGCTACCATGACACGAGAGCAGCTAAAGATGACAAGTGAGTGTGGCCATGTTCCAGCAGAGCTTTGGTTACAAAAACATATGGTCACCTGGGTTTGGCCTGGGTCATGGACTACCAGACTGTTTTATAAAAGACATTTGATATAATCCCCATTTTAAGGAAGGTAAAACTGAGATACAGAAAGGCTCATAGAAATTCAGTTGCCCAGAACCGAGGGCCTGCTTGACTTGGTCATTTCTAAAGCCCATCCTTTTAACTTCCACATGCACTGCCTCCCCCAGAAGCGTTAGACACGATCTGGGGAAGAGTGAGTGGATGTTACTGCCTTGAAGAGCAGTGTGAAAAGTCTGAATTTAATTCAATGGGAAGCATGGTGCCGTTGATGATTTTTTGAACAGGTGATAGGATTAGAGCTGTGCTCCAGGAAGGTTAAGCATGGTGGCAGATTCTGTGTCCTTTTATATATATGAGCTCATTTCATCTTCCTAACAGCCCCATGATGTAGGTCGTATTATCCCCATCTTATAAACAAGGACACCAGGTCAAAGGGTGCAGAGGTAATTGGCATCATGGAGGCTATGATTTAAAGCAAGCATGTTGATTCAAGACGTCCCCTCTTTACCATCTCACTCCATTGCCCCCACTTCCCGAGCCCCAGGGTGGGTCAGGCCAGGAACTTCAGTGAGTCTTCATGACCACCTTCTGAAGTAGGCCTTATTACGTCCATTTGACAGCTGAATAAATGGAACCTCGCAGAAGTTGAGTAACTTGCCCAAGGGCATGCAGACAACAAGGGATAGAACTAGGTTTGGGGTTTTTAATGTATTTTTAAAATCTTTCAGTGAGAACATAACTGAATAGAAGAAGGAGCCTAGAATCCAGAGGTGGGTATCATGGAGGAGATAAATGATTTGAATAACTTTTGTGTTTGTATTCAGAGAAGCAACATGGTAGAAATGTCCAAGGGTTTCCGGAGCCCAGATGGGTTCAAATCCTGGCTGTGCCACTTACTTATGGCCTTGGACAAGTTACTGCTTTACCTCTCTACATTTCAAATTTCTGCTCTGAAAAAAAGAAGTAATATCTATTTCATAGGGTGAGGAGTAAATGAACTAATGTGTGCAAAATGTTTATACCAACAGATAAACATCTATAGGCATGTAGTAGGCACCGTATGGTGGCTATTAAGTTCCTACTCTGCATTAGGCCTTTTTACCGAATTTTTTTTTTTAAAGATTTTATTTATTTGGGGAAGGAGTAGAGGGAGAGGGACGAGCAGCCTGAGCACGGAGCCTGAGATCCCACGACCCTGAGATCATGACCTGAGTGGAATCACGTCAGGCACTCAACTCACTAAGCCACCCAGGTGCCCCCCACCTTATATTTTTCTTTCCAAATGTCTGATCACTCAGTCCTCAAAACAGCTGACAAGTAGATGGTATTGATCCAGTGTCACAGATAAGAACAACTAGCCTCAGTGCAGTTAAATAGCTTGCCTGAAATCCTACAGCCATTCGCCCACAAACACATATTGAGAACTAACGTGCTAATGCTGTAGGTACCTTGGAAACATCAAAGAACAACACAGATCCAAATCCCTACCCTGTGAAAACTCCAGAACTGGGACTTGAACCCAGGTCTGCCTTTTTTTTTTTTTCCCTTTAATGTTTTCTTCCCCTCCCTTAACAATTTAATTTAGTGATCACTGGCGTTTAGGGTTGGCCGTTTGATGATCGTGCCTCTCTTCCGTAGCTTTCTCAGTGCTTACAAAACTGAGACTGATCGTGCTTGGGAGTCCTAGGGAGGCATGGAACATGGATTTAAGGATGAGACACCTTGGACCCCGGTGTGGAGTAGCCCCATCCTGCAATGGCCTCTTCAGCCGTGCAAGGGCAGACCAAGATTCAAGTTCGGGGCTGGGAGGAGACAGGGGTGTCTGTTCTCAGCTCGGGATGAAGCAGGAAGTGCAGCTCTGTCTTGCCCCATCTTGGGAGGAGGCTCTCCCCATCCCAGGTGGCATAGCCAGAACTGAAGCCTCCCAGAAGGCTCCTAGGTGTTGGCCTGCTATCCCCATTCTGTGAGCCTCGAGGGGTGGCGCCCCATTGTGTGAGGTTATTCTGGGCTCGTTTGAAGAGCTAAGTGGAGGAGAGAGTGGGGGTGAGGGTAGGACTCCCACTGCTCTAGGAGTCACACACAAGATCTCAGAGCAGGCCTGCTGGAAATACAACAACCCCCTCCCTAATTTGCGGGATACACCATATGACTTAGTATATGAATTTGTTGCTGCTAATACATGGGCCAGTCAAGGTGGGGTATACTCTTTGAGCCATCACTGTAGGTGGGAGAAAGGTGCTGTTATATGGAGCCTACATGTCGCTCCACAGACGAGCTGGAGGGAGGAGGAATCTAGGAATCTGTCCTGGAAACTATCACTCAAAATTGATGAGGTTTCCAATTTTGTTTGTTATTTGGCTTATTTCAGTTAGGGAGAAAGTTTTCAGGTGCGTTTTCTTGTGCTTCTAAGAGAAAAGATGCTCTTGTGGGGACAGATTGGGGGTGGGGGCAGGCAGGGTTGATTTCCTGATCCCATGGGTGACCCAGCCTCTCCCTTTCAGGCTGCTGCGCACACACCGGTGCTGTGTTTAAATGTGTTGGAATTTGCTGGGTTTTTTAAAATTATTACTAGTCACAGAATCCCAACAGTGGAAATGAGGCTTTTAAATTAAACCGATTACATTTGAGCTGATTGCAAGGTCGTCAATAACACCACTCACACGCGAGTAATTGAAGGGCTCTGTGTTTGCGTACTTGGCTTCTTTACAAGGGACCCAGGCTCCTGAGAGCTTCACTACCTCAATAGCCCTCCTCACCCTGAAATGGCCCATTAAAAGATGCCTGTTGGGTGGTAACCTCCCCATACGTTTTCTCAATAAAGAGAAAAAGATGGGAAGGGGGCGGTGGTGGCGGCGGCGGAGTGGGGGGAGGCTTCTCTTGCATTTCGAGCCACCGCCTCTCAAAGCCGTCTGGAGCAGACTGTTTAGTTCTGTGTCCCCGTCCCATTCAGGCCTTTGCATGCTTTGAAGCTTTCTTTAGCTTTTCCCTGCGCCTCCATGGCAGATCTCTCAATAGGCAAAAGCCCAGCTGAAAGGCCCCTCCGCACACGGCTCTGCATGTTAATGGCCCTGGCTGGCCTGGGACAGCGCGCTTGGCGGGACAGGGGCTGCTGCGCAGGCCCCAGCAGCTGCCTCCGGCTCGGGGATGGGGTCTGAGTAGGTGGCTCAAGTTGCCTGTTTGCTTTCTTGCAGATCTATACGGACTGGGCCAATCACTACTTAGCCAAATCGGGCCACAAACGTCTCATCAAGGACCTCCAGCAAGATGTGACGGATGGCGTCCTCCTGGCTCAGATCATCCAGGTTGTGGGTAAGAGCGGGTTTTACACTGGGGACCGAGGACTTACAGTGGAGACCTGGAAGGGGACAAGCCGGACAAGGGGCATGGCACACTGAAATCTCCCAGAGGAATACAGTGTTTGTCACATGTGTTGACAGTTTACTTGATAACATCTCATGCTTGGTGAAGCGTGGATACCAGCTTGCTTTTCCTCTTGATGCTCTGAGAAGTAGGGCTGGAGGGGGTGCTGGTGGTCTGAGAAGGGCTCTCTGCCCCTTTCTTGTCCCCTGTCTTTTTGGTTCTCCCTTCTCCACCCCCCACACGCCCCCACACACCTCTGATGGTAATTTTATTGTGGATTACTTTGGAAATATTTACCAAAAACAAACAAAAGGTACCACAAGACTGATTTAGTCCTGCCAACTTCAATTGGGTCTAAGAAGGCAAAGAATCAAACTCTGTAGAGGGCTGGTTCTGGTTTTACTACTGGGAGAAGGGAGCTGGGGCTGCGCGTCAGGAAGAACGGGTTCATCCCGGGAAGGCAGGTGGGCACAGCTCTGCCTTGAGCCTTGAAGCTTATGGGGAGTGCCCCCCGCAGCCCTGCCTGAGAGCTCCCACTGAGAGGCAGGTCAATTAGATGCCGTCAGGCTGACTGTTGTCGCTGGCGGCTTCTGTGGCTGCCTCATGCCAAAGGAAAAGGCATAAGGACAGAAGCCCCAGCCCACTGGGTGTGCATTGCTGTGGGAGAGTTGCTTATCTTTCAAGTCTGAGCAGAATGACCTTTTACGTAAAGTTGCAATTCTGCTCACCTCCGTGGAGATTGTACCTGAAAACCCAGGCAAGCTGGCCTTAGCTGGACACTTCTGGACTGGTGCCACCATTCAGATCCAAGTGCCCCTGCCATCCTAAGATTGATTTTTTTTCTTTCTCTCTCTCTTTTTTTTTAAGATTATTTATTTATTTATTTATCTGACAGACAGAGATCACAAGTAGGCAGAGAGGCAGGCAGAGAGAGAGGGGGAAGCAGGGTCCCTGCTGAGCAGAGAGCCCGATGTGGGGCTTGATCCCAGGACCCTGAGATCATGACCTGAGCTGAAGGCAGAGGCTTTAACCCACTGAGCCACCCAGGCGCCCCCTAAGATTGGTTTCTTTCTTTTTTTTTTTTTTTTTTAAAGATTTTATTTATTTATTTGACAGATAGAGATCACAGGTAGGCAGAGAGGCAGGCAGAGAGAGAGAGAGAGAGGGGAGGAAGCAGGCTCCCCGCCGCGCAGAGAGCCCGACGCGGGGCTCGATCCCAGGACCCTGGGATCATGACCTGAGCCGAAGGCAGAGGCTTTAACCCACTGAGCCATCCAGGTGCCCCCTAAGATTGGTTTCTTAAGACTGGCTTGTGCTTGTTCCCCTTCTCCCTTCCTGCCCTGTGTTCGTCGTCTGTGGCTGTGTAGCACATGGCCGTGTATGTGTGTTAGCTCATGGTTTCTGGGTGTCGGAAGTGCAGGCACAGCATAGCTGGTGCCTCCTCGAGGCCGCAGTCAGAGTATTGGCTGGGGCTGAGTCCTCCTGTGGAGGCTTGACCAGGGCGGGGCCTGGTTCCCTCAGTGTTGGCAGATTCATCTCCTTGCGGTCAGAGGAGGTGAGTCCTGATTTCTCGCTGGCTCTTCGCTGGAGGGCTTCGCTCTTAGAAGCCCCTCTCAGCTCCTTGCCATGTGAGTCTCCCAGTGTGTTGCTTGGATTGATTTCTTCAGTGCCACCAAGGAGCACGTTTCTAGAGCAAATTGGCTTGCCATTTGTCATCTTCTATAATGTGATATGCTTGTGGGAGTGACATCCCACCACCTTTGCCTTATGTGGTTGGTTAGAAGCAAAGCCTAGGTGCTGTCACACCCCACGGGAGGGGATTACACAAGGGTTTGAAGTTAAGCAGGAAGATCATTGGGGGTGACCTTGAAGTCTGTCTGCTATACTTCTTCCCTTTCATCCTCTTCCTCCTCCCACTTTTTTTCTCAAACTTTTCTGAGTATGGTTGGTGTCCAATGTTACATTAGTTTCAGGTGTGCGACACAGCGATGGGACGGTTTTATCCATTGTGCTCTGCTCACCACAAAGGTAGCCTCCGACGGTCCCCATGCAACACTCTTACAGTATCCGTGACCAAACGCCCTATGCTGTGCCTTTTCTCCCTGTGCTTGAGTCTTTCTGTACCTGGAAGCCTGTGTCTCCCACTCCCCTTCACCCATTTTGCCTACTCCACCCTCTCCTTCCTTCCCCCCATGTCGTCATCTCGGACATGAACCGATTTCTCTTCCTCCCGCTCTTCATCCTTTACAAATTTCTCTCCATTTCCTCTACTTCTCTGTGAACTAGGGGATACTTACCCTGTTTTACACCTGCAGACACTGAGGCTCCATGAGTCTCAGAAGCTCCATATCACACAGCTAGCCTGGAGGGGATTTTGGTTTGAGTTAGTTTGCTCCTAACGCCTCTGTTTGTTGCCCTGCTGTGTTATACTCTCCTGTCAATCCCGACACATGGAACCCGGTACAAGGATCTGGCCTCCTTCACTTCAGTTCATTACAATTCGTTGAGCACTGACTGTATGCTAGCATTGTGCTCCAAGCCAGGAATAAAGAGACAAATGTGCAAGGCCTGTAACCTTGGAAGAAGGAGTGCCATCTTCTTGCTGGGGTCTTCATAGAGGAGAGGACTTGCCTGGAAGCTGAGTTTTGATCTCTACATCAGCAGTGTCACGTGAGGCAGGACTGTGGCTGCATCTTGGGGCTGTGTAGTATTTCTACCAGGACCTTCTCAGCTTTCAGAACTGGGAGCAAGTGGGAAAGGATGGAACCGAGAGGCCTTGCTCTCATCCCAGTTTCATTGCTCCCAACCATGGGACCTCAGAGTCCCTTTCCTCTGCTGCCTCTGCTTCCCTGTCTTTAAAATGGGCACACCCTGATTTTTATGGCATTCTTAGGAAATGCAAGGTAGGTAGCAAACATGACATGTTTGGAAAGTAAAGCGCTCTTGGATAGCATTCAGTGGCCACCTCCTAAAAAGTTCTGAGTACGAGGGTGACAAGACCTTGGTATCCCATTAGAGTGTATCATGATAGATTCGTTCTGTCTGTCATGGGCTCAGAATAGATGAGTGGTAGCATGGATGTCAGGAATTGACTAAGCACAGCGCGACAGAGTGTAAGCTAGTACAGTGTTTGTCTTGCTCAGGAGGATGCTTCCCTGAATCTATTCGGAGGACATGAACCTCCCTAGACACCTAGGGAACCTAGAACCTCCCTAGAACCTCCCTAGGGCCTGAGCTACTGGACAGGTATCCCGGCCTCAAGTTAGTACCAGTGCCTGACGGTGCCTGAGGCCACCAACTGCCCTTCCCTCGGCCCTCCAAGAGAGGCTTGCTCCGCTGGGGACTCTAAGTAAAGCCAGATGTTAGTGTCTCTGTCTCTGCCCCTGCCTGTGCTGGGCTCACCCTCTCTGCTCTGACTGTGGAGAACAGAGACCCAGAGAATGAGGAGCTGAAAAGGTAGCGACACTTAGGAGTCCTGCGTGACTACTTCTCTGGATTGTTTGTCACCCGGTTCAGAGTGTTTAATCTGCGCGTATCTTGTGAATACAGATTTCTTGGTGAGGGAGGCAGAGTGGTGTTTTTTCTGACCAGGTCGTTCAACTAGTGAGTTGGAATCCTCCCAAAGATTTTCTTTCACTAGGTCAAAATCTGCCCCCCACCCCTTGGTAGTATCTCCTTATAAGTATTAGTTCTGCCCTCCATGGCTATAAAGAATGACCATAATCTGAGACCACTAGAGCTTCAAAACTGAGGACAGTTGTGGATTATAATTATGGCATAAAATAGGAATCTGTAAGTCTCTACTAACAGATACTTCAATCAGTGGAGAAGAAAGGCCTCCACTGTTTTGGAGAACAAATAAAGAGTGAGTTGCAACCATGATGGTAAAGATTAGTTAAGGCAAGAACCAATGGATTAAGACATTGGAGGAGAAAGTTTGAGAAGCAAGCAATTTGCATGGTCTCAAAGTATCTCTTCAGTGATGGCTTATTAGTTGCAAGGGAAGTGTATCTACACAGGGGAGAATCCACTTCACGACCAGGAGATCAAAATTCTATCAGTGGCAAGGGGTAGATGGATATCATGTACTTACTGATGTGATACCCAGAAGAACATAGCATCACTTATGTTGAATTCCAGGCAGGGATAGAAAACCTGAAGCTAATCATGAGGAATCTTAGATCAACTCGAATTGTGGAACATTCTATTTAAAAACAAAACCAAGGGACGCCTGGGTGGCTCAGTGGGTTAAGCCTCTGCCTTCGGCTCGGGTCATGATCCCAGAGTCCTGGGATCGAGCCCCGCGTCTGGGTCTCTGCTCGGTGGTGGAGTCTGCTTTCCCACCCCTTTCTGCCTGCCTCTCTTCCTACTTGTGATTTCTGTCAAATAAATAAATAAAATCTTAAAAACAAAACCAAAAGAATTGGCCTGTATTGTTCAAAAATGTCAGCTCTATGAAAGACCAAGCCTGAGAAATTGTTCTAGAATAAAGGAGATTAAAGTGATGTCACAACTAAAGGTACAGCAAGATCCTGGACTGGATCCTGTATGGGGAATAAAATGCCATAAAGGACATTTTTTAGTATATTGCCAAAATTGGGATTATATCTATGTCAAGTTTTTTGAATTTTATAATTGTACCGTGAGATAATCTCCTTATTCTTTGTAAATGCGTATGAAATCTAAGGGCAAAGGACACGATCTACATATTCTACACTGAAAGGATTCAGAAAAAAAAAAATCCATATACCTGTACAGAGACAAAGGGGAGAAAATGAGAAAGGATGGTGTGTGGGAATTCTCTGTACGATTCCTGTGACTTTTCTGTCCATTTGAAGTTGGTTCTTTCTTCCTTTCTTTTTTTTATTTCCTTCCTTCCTTCCTTCTTTCATCCCTCTTTCTTTGTTTCTTTCTTCCTTTCTGATTTTACTTATTTACTCTTAGTGTGA